CCCCAGGGGCTCCAGCAGCAGCCTCTCCCGCCGGCTGCAGGCTATGGAGACACGGGGGAGCAGGGCAGATATCACCTCCCTTTCCCCTGGATGAAAACCACAAAATCTCACTCGCACACCTGGAAGGGACAGTGGTCAGGTAAATCTTCCAACCCGCTACACATCTGTACATGTCATGTGTTTGAGATAATTACAAAGACAATCACTGAGTGGAGATCTGATTATGCTTGATTTGGTATAACTATATATATAATCACTTCTCAGCTTGTTTCAAATTGCAGATGGGCTTCAGTTATGTTTACCACATTACTCTGTACTCTGTAGTCATAGCACTAACGGGTGAGTTTCATCTGACTCGTTCTGAGGGCCTATGACATCATGCTCACAACAATATGATCTTGGGTGTTTCAGTTTACCTTGTCAGTCAAATTCTAAAAGGCCCGGAAAGTCAGCGCTGGCTTTTATCAGGTCTTATCGTCACAAAAATGTGGGTTTTGCCTATACAAAACATATTCACAAATCGCCCCATCTTAAACCATCAATAGGCTGTATCCTACACTATAGAGTACAATAGGCCGGTAAAGCACCCACGTCTATACGCAATAGGTTTTGATTGATGTTGGCGTGCTATATGAACAAAAGTAGATTTTATATTAGTGTTTATTAGATTACTTAGTAGTACTTAGTCTTTTATTGGGAGGCGTTTTGATTATAAAATTAGCTTTATTTATAGGCCTAATAAATTGAAGTTTGTTTTTAGTGAGCGTGAAAAATGTGAACGTAATAAACCGCAAAGTTTCTTCAGCTAAAATATATATGAAGTTCTCAGACTTTTCTCATATCAGAGAAGTTTCAGATCATTGAACTAACTTTTGTTCTGCGTCACTAATTTAATGTAGGACATTTGTATTGTTGATTTATACAACTTGTAGACAAAGTCCTCTTTTGGTTTATTTTGCGCATAGTTTTTGTGATTAATTCGAGTGTGGGCCTACTGAAGATATGTCAATGACTCTATAGGTCATGTTTTAAATAACATAATTCCAGTAAATGTAAATTTAAGTTTTTAAACGGACAAAATTACATTATGAGGGGTTTGTTTTTATTTTTTACAAGTGGTGGGCTAATATAATGGACGCCAAGGGTCCATATGCCATGATTAATAAGCATTTATACCGTTAATTGAATGTATAAAAAATGGGTTCAATTAAAACTACAATTGAAATTACCTAAACTAGTTGTATCTTACTGATCGTGAATAGTTAAAATTTAACTTTCAATTTTAATCAACACAAAAAGACTTTTCTGGAGGAGAAATATATTTTTCATTGACTCTGTACAATGAGTATGAGCGAATCCCTTATTGATTTTTGTACAGGTAAAATAAATAAATAAATAAATAAAGGGCACCATTAAAGCAACTGGTGTGTAACTAAAGACTAACTGCAAAATGTAGGCTTAATTTAATTACTCATACTTTTGAATTTAGTTTTTCAGAACATCTTGAGGCCATCGGTATGATAGGTAATTCCTTAACTGAGTCTATTCACTAATCATCAGGTTGAGGACCCTGAGGAGGGGATCAGGACATCCTGAAAATAAGGAGTAATGTGGTGGCTTTATAGCCTGTAAAAGTTTCTTGTTTCACTGTTTTGTTTTCCAAAATATACTGCAGCAATTCAGCCATAAAAAATAGTGTAAAAGCTGGGAAATATATATATTTTTTGTCCATACTACGGGGAAACTACAATACGCACAACATCCCTTAAACTAAATCTTAATAATATACCACCAAGTCTTGCTTTAGCTTTTCTGCTAATCACCTGTTTCTTCCAAATTTTAACTCGGACTAAAGAAAATGCTTATCTTTGGGTAAATCTCAAGTAATTGTGAATTCCTTGTAACATTACAAGAGAGTAAATGTTTATTTTACTATCAGAAGACATGCTCATGTGGTTTAGGTGCCTGCTGGAGAGTTCAAAATCGAACCCATGTACTTGTAAGCCCAATAGTCATTTGCAGTAAAACATAATATTCTCCCTTTATGATCATTAATACTTTAAAATGTACAATGGCAGTGCGATGGTTCAACCAGACTGGCTTTTGAAAAGTCAGAAAGAGACCAAGCATGAGCAACAGTTAAGACTATAAGGAATCATTGGTAAAAGAAACTGGAAGCTTATAGCGTCAACATGTGTGCAGATTTAAAGAGATACCGGTTTCACTGCAAAATAAGATATTCTTAAATCATCAATTTAGAAATAGGAGTGGGTTAAGAGTTTGCACTATTGGAATTGGATCAGGGAACGTCTACGGACGGACATATCACAGTTTAAAACCAATTCAATCTAAGTACATCTGTTTGTGTCCAGGACCATACGTGATGGCGGAATCCGAGGAAAACAAACGCACGAGGACAGCCTACACGCGCGCCCAGCTGCTGGAGCTTGAGAAGGAGTTCCTGTTCAATCGCTACATCTCGAGACCGCGCCGCGTGGAGCTGGCGCTGACCCTGTGCCTCACCGAGCGCCACATCAAGATCTGGTTCCAGAACCGGCGCATGAAGTGGAAGAAGGAGGAAGACCGAAGGAAGGTGAGGGGGTCCGACCCGGACCAGGACTCCTCCATCACCTCTGGAGACCAGGGGGAGGCCGCGGGAGGGGTCACCTCTACGAACGGACCTCACACCACTTCACCTCCTGTTTCTCCGCTGCACGGTCACTCCCTCTCCACACCTGCGACCAGAGAGACGGCATAGAGCCCGCAGGTTCAAACTCTCAATGCAGGAACCTTTTTTTTTTTTGAAAACCCAAATAGAAAGAGACTTAAATCAACATTTTAAGGCAGACCCATTTGAGTGAAATCTTATAAGATTCATGATTAGGGCAAGAAAGGAGAGTGCAACCAATAGGCCAGTCTCTCTTATAGCTATTTACATAAAGTGCTCATTTTCCAGGGACCCCCTTCAACCTTCTCAAGGACCACCTTTGCCCTCTTACTGGATACCACTGTCTGTCTGGACTGAATGAGCATTTCTTCATTCCACTTCATCGTGCATGCTTTGATGTTTTTTTTGGGCACCAGATGGCATGCTGACAGAACCTTATCAGTTGCACAAACTGAAGCATGGTCTGATCATGTTTTGCAGTGAGTGCATTGTTTTTCACCTCAGACATGTGAGTAGTATACAATCAAGTTTATGGATGTATTTATGTGTAATAGGACTACGTTTGCTATTTTATGAATGTCAACTTGTACATAGGATATATCGTGTAAATTGTTAAATTAGAATCAATGGTACACATTTTATTGTTTGAAGAGTTCACTGTACAGTATGACTTGAATAAAGCAAATATCACACCGCCTATAGCCTGGGAACAATGGCAGTCTTTACATCTGGGTGGTTAAACTGGCACAAGATGAATCCAATATAAACTCCAGTAGTTACGGTTCATAACTTGTTTGGAGCGTCAGTGAGCACGAGAGCTTGAAGACGCAGGCGACATATCTTCTTCACCTCCTCGATTCCGCGCGCCCTCTCCAGCGCGCGCTCGTTCTGACAGCGCTCGGACAGTTGCCGTAAAATGTTCGCCTTGTCGTTCACCCGGGCGCAGATGATAAACGGGAACTCGAAACGCTCCTTGTACTCCTCGTTGAGCCGGGCCATGCGCGAGGCATCTGCAGAGTTCAACGCATCCATCCCGGCTCCTGCCTGCTCCTCGCGCGATTCCCGAGTCAATGTGCCGCTCTGCAGGTCCCTGCCTGCGAGGTCAGGGTGGCACCTGAGGATCCCCTCTTTACCTGCACACGAACGAATACAGTGCCTTAATGACGTCGTATCTGTGCCATTGCCCGGGGAGTAAATGACATTTCAGGGCCAAACTGCAAATCACAAAGACAAAACTTAACTAAATTTAGTTCTCACCTGATTCTGGGAGAGCATCGATGAATTCATTGATTGCAGCCTCCAACGCAGTAAAGTTCAAAAAGGGACGCCCGGACCACACAGCAGCTGTTATGATGGGACATTTCTCCACCACATTGCCCAAAAGATTCACAAAATCCTCGAAAGGAAGAGCATTTACTGTGGCGATGTCCATGTCCATGCGCACGGGGACTCTCTTCAGCATAGTTGCACAGGCAGTCTTTATCGACCTTCGGACAAGACAACAAGGGTTCATGCACTTCTGGACACACAGAACAAGCCCCCTATACGCCAGTGGTTCATATTTTCCTCGTCAGATCAAGTGCCAATCATTTGACGTTGATTTATTTTCTGGGATTTTTACTGTCTTTTTCTGGGATCTTTATTTTCTCCCTCCTTTTATGTTTCTTATCTAGAATGGAAAGTTAAATAAGGCTCGTCTTCCAATGAGGGAAATGGTTTTCACTTTACAAAAAGAAACAGGTAGGCTAACTATTGTCCAAGCCAGATACAACACTGAGCTGTACAATCGGTACCGCATGTGGTGCTAACCTGACAAACTTAAAAGCAACTTCATTTTACAGGGGACACAAATGTGTCCTACTGCTACATACATCATAAGTGACCTACTTAATTACCGTGTGGGATTATTCGGAAATGTTCTCACCGTTTGCAACAGCAGCCTTTCAGGTAAACGGCGTGTTTAAGTGCACTTCCTGCATTTCCCCAACGCCTCATAACAATGAATACGCCCATACATTTCTTCTTTCTAATCTTTCACACTGTTCGCATATAGTATCAAGAGAAAACATCAGAATTACTCACATACAGATGGAGCTTTCCGAAAAGAAAACGAAAAGCAGTGGCAAAGACAAAAGGACAACCGAGATAAAACATATTCAACGTAACATAAATACATTACTTAGAAATAAACACGTGAGTGTATGATAATACATTCACTTTAAGATACAATCACTGTTTTGATCGATTGTCTGTCTGTCTGTTCCATTTCATTCATAAATACAAAAAATAAAGCTTCTGTGAATGTGAAACCTGA